ATTTATTTCCTTGGTTTAAAAAATACGCGAACGAGAGAAAACGAGTGAGAGGCATTTTATTCAAGTACATTCAAGTTTTTAACAGCGAGTCCCTGTATCAAGTATTGTCTAATTTTTATTCTATTAAACATAATCTCCCTTTCCTATTTAAATTTAATTTATTTGATGATTTTATTCAACTTCAAGCACAATATTATTATGTAGTACTAAAATGAAGTCCATGCACGGATGCTATTGTACATCGGGAATTTTCTTTAATCCTTTATCCATGCATTCCTCCTTCAAGGAAAATAATTATGAATGAATTGATGGAATAACGTGTACAAAACCATGTGGTTTCGGTTTGTCAACGTGTTTTAGATCATGATCAGCAAATCACAACTCCTCGGGTCTTCCTGTCTAACAGAATAATAACCTCAAATATATACAGAAAGGATTAAGAAACGCATATTAAACTTTAGAGTTTAATTAAAACAATTATTTCAAATATGTTTTCAACAATTGTTATCATACATTTTAATCCATCTTTAATCAACAAGTTACCAAAATTTTGTGTGATTGTAAGTGATAATTCCTGAGATATTGATATCATTATGTCGACACCCCCCAAAAATAAAACTAAAAATTCTCACAATCTCCCTATCGCATCAGTAACACACTTTGATTTTCATGTGCATTGAGTTCACCAGAGCATTTATCTTCTTCAGAACATTATTATTCAACCCTTCCGACGGTTGAAAGTAAAATCAACGTAAAATGGCCAAGCTCGCGGCCCAAATTAGAGCAGAGAGTTTCTGTCAATTAAGGATCAAAAAATGAGTATGATTGTCTGCTGCATAAATATCAGTTTCGGTGATAATGCCTTGACAATAACCGAGGTGGCATAATGAAAAGCCCTATCTTGTTGTGACGTTTTTACGCGCCAACATCGCCGTCATGGTTGGCTGGAAACATTTTAAATTAACTCTCTGACAACTTTTATTTGGTTGAAAAGTTGAAAACAATCTGTACAGCAGCATGTTTTTGTTTTTTTATTCACTAATGCAATATTGAATTCAATTACTAAACACACAATAAATTCCGTCAGCCATACCACGATTGCAAGAAATTTATACTGACAGCAAATATGCAAAAACGATTTCTACAACTCAAATGCATCGTATGGCACTACAAAAGTTTATCACAAAATTATCATCATCTACATGCAAGTGTTTTTGACTTTTTATCATTTCCCCTACGTGACGCCATACATTTCAAGGTTGAGTAGTTTTGACTAGTAATTTTAGTGCATAGTAACCAAAATACTCATCTGACCAATTTTCATATTTTTCGGCCACATAGACAAAAATTATTGTCATCTCCCTCGGGAGATGACACATTAAGATTGTATGCCGGAAGTGAAGTCCTAGTGTAAGCCTCCATTAATTTTTCGGGAATCCTCGATGTTTTACAATATCTCAAGTGAGAATCTACACAAGGAGTTCCAAGTAGCCTGTAAACTGGTTTTCTTTTAGAAGAACTAGCTTAGAAGTGTGTGATCTACTTTCGGTTTTGGCCTATTTGAAAGCGAAGAAAAGTTTAGAAAAGAAGTACGATGCTTATTGTCATCTCTCTCTCGAGATGACACATTAAGTTTGATTTGCCATTTAACAGTCGGCAATCCTCGGCTGAATCCAATCCTCTCCATACAAAAAGTGCGAGGTCACCCGAGGAGCACCGAGTTGATGCTATTTTCTAAATATAGAGATGTAAACAATGAGCGATCTACTTTATTTCTATCGATAAAGAAAACAAGCTGCACAGAAGTCAGAGAGAGTTAGACACACACAAACGCCTGGGTGGCGGAGTCTTCAAAATATACAGTACACTGTATGTTCTTATATATACCTCGGTAGTCTTGGCTAGTACGTAAATGATGATCAGAAGAAGATAGAATCTTCTAACTAGGTCAGCGCGTGTGTAAATATCCTCTGTAGCCGAGGCGCGTGGATCCAAGAATTCACAAAAAAAAAAATCAAATTTATTTTAACATTTACAAAAGTAATCGCGTTTAGTGGTGAAAACTTTAATTTTTTGGTACTTTTACCAGGTCGTTTACTAAGAGCAGGTAAATGCAAAATTTACAACATGAAAACTGGTCCTCAACAGGATACTGTAGTGATTCTATAAATTGCCGTCATTTTTCTTAAATAATACAAGGCTGTTTAATTCAGCGAATGTATTATGAGTAAAAAAAAATCATACATTAAAAGCACAAGTTATAGGCGCACTAACATAAATATCTTTAACATACTACAGATATTGGAAGATTGATCACAATTCAAAACTCCAAAAAATCTTAATGAGTATCTTTTTTTGCAAGTCTAATCTATTCTTTTGAAGGATTTATCATGTTTATAATTAAAGAACTTGCAATCAAATTCTTTATGCAGCTGTAAATTGCATTAATGGCAAAAAAGTCATCAAATCACTTCTCCTATAGTACTGAATTGAAGCCAAAATTATAATACAGAATTGTTTATTTTTAGTATGCAGATAAAGTTTTCTCTAAAACAAAACATAGGAATAAACGCATTGCACGTGAATTTTGACGATCACTATAATGGCACAATATACTGTATTCCTAAATCAGCCGAAGTTCAGAGTTGGCAAATTAGGACTCTTTTTTCAGATAATTAATAAATGCTTAATTTTATGTTAAATGTATTACTTACCTGTATTTAAAAACATGTGGGCGTTATTTCTTTGGATAAGCTATATAAAAGTGTGTAAAAGTAGATTTGATATTGTATTTGCTTTCAAGTTAATTACGTTGATGGCAGTTTTCTCTATCCTATGCTATATTTCGACAGGGCCTTGTGCATGTGCTTATATTTTATAAAGCGTTAACAGTGGCGGATACAGGAATCTTGAAAAGAGGGGTTCAGGGCAGGAGCCTACAGCCTCACACAAAAAATGAATTATGAAATCTTATGTATATTTTGGACACAAAAAGGGCGAACCTGCCCCCCCCCTCAAATTAGCCAGTGCTGTTAAAAGTTAAATTTCTGAATAGTAAACTTTTTTATGTAAGTTTAGTTCATTTTCCCCCTTTATATCCCATGGGTGTTCGATGGGCATGTCACTTAAAGGAATGAGAAGATTAAGGAAAATCTTTGGAAAGGAAAGGGTCTGAATTATAAAGTTAGCACTTTTGTCTACTGTCAGAGTAAGAAGCTGTGAAATACGTATATGTAAGGTCAAAAGGAACGCAAGGTTTTTGTCCAACTTCTTGTAAAAAAAATGCGTACAAATTTTTCGAATACTGCTTAGTTGTACAATAACATTTTCTAAATACATTAAACAAAAAAATATTTGTAATTATAAATTATAACATATTTTTACATAAATTTAGACACGTGTCGTCAGAGAGGGTACCTCTCCATTTATTTAAACTTGACAGTGCTGAAAAAAAGTTACATTCAATTTACTGTTTATTCTGTGACATAAATGAAGCCCAAAGAGATGACATTTCAGGCTTTCTGGAAAGCCAAACTTGTTCCCATATTATGTTCGTATGCGTTTCTTTTTCCTTTCAGTATATTACGTATACATCATGACATCCCCATGCTCCTCACCCCCTTTACCCAAACTTTGAAATAAATGAGGAAAGATATTTTATTTGTGGACTTTTGAGTTTAATTTTATTGAAAGTAAAGCTATTACCCTTAAATACGTATTATGGAAAGGACTTTCAACCCCGTATATCTTTCATAAATAGAAAATCCATGTTGTTTGAATATTAATATACGGTGATGTTTTAAAATACTTCAATGTTGTTTTTCTGACCTGTGACAATGGTGCGAGATAATGCAAATTTCAAAATTCCTGTCAGGGTTATGAACTTCTAATCACTAAAAGTTGTTTGTGTTGACACAGAGCCTAGATTATTCTGTTAAGATCAAGGTCACTGACAGAAGAAATATTGTCTTTACTACGCTATGAATTAGTAAATGAAAATCATTGGAGGCTCATACTTGAAACATAGATTACTTATGAGTGGGGGTTTTGTCATGACCCTGATCAAATGTCTTTCTGGCAAATCAAGGTCACTGACACAGAAAAAAGTGTTTAAGCATAACTTTATAATTAAAATTTACTGGAGGCTCATGCTGTGAAGAAAGGTTGTTGACATAAGAAAGTGCAGTGACCTTGACCCAAGGTCTGTACTTCCTGTCCACAGCTCCAACGGAAGACCTACTCGTTGCTTTGCAACGAGCTCGGCTCTAGTTCAAGGGTCTTTTCATGCTGCCAAAATATTTGTTTGGGAAATAATGGTCTATTATATACACTTGTACCGATCCGGCAAATGTTAATTCCAAAATAAGAATCAATAAGTGGTGCGTTAGCATATTTGTCTAGAGTATTTCAGATATTCTAAATCTAGGCTCTGAAAGCTTTTTCGAAAGAAATAGTCCATGTGTATTTGTAGGAAATTCATGGTGTAGTCTTCAATCTGATTTATGGTGGAATGCAAGACTTGACCGCGTCAATTCCTTTGTTAGCATATGAGAGTTTAATAAATGTGATCAATTTACACCATATCATAGAATAGAACTTGAAATACTATATAGAAAAATGTATCAATGTATTTTTATGCCAGTGCATAAAGATAATTATATATACATTGTATGTTTTGATTGGCTAAATTAGATGCATATGAATTTATATCTAACTTTTGTAATGTTTTACCTTAGGTGTTAACATCTTTAAACAATGTCTTACCTTATCAATTGATCGTATACAAAGGTTGTTATTTATTATAGGCACAATGGACACATTTTTAAAATTAAAATGGTCTGTATGATTTAGTTTCACATCTAAGAAACTGTAGAAAAGAAAAAAAAACATTTGTTGAAGTACGGTATACATGTATTGATAGTGTCATATAAATACTCTCCATTCTATTTTTATCCAAAACGAATATTACGTAATCATGCAGGAACATGCAGGGGTTGTAACTAAACAGCCTGTCAAGCAAACAACAGACGTCAAGATATAATCCTGCTGTTATTTGTAGTAGGAATGTTTACAGAAAAGATGTTTCGTTCTACATGAATACTTATCCAAAGAAAAAGATGCATTTAAGCATGAAAAAAGTGAGTATTAGGTTATTGCTTTTTTTCGTTTTGCTGATTTTAAGGGTTAAGGTAATTAATGTTAAAAAAAGATTATTAGAAATCAAAACAAGTCTAAAAGAATCAATTGGTCGATCTTCACATTTTTGAATCTCAGACACGGGACATTTGACTTTGGACAGCGTAATTTTCAAGTAATTGCACATGGCAAAAACTAAAATAACAAAAAAATATTCTGTAGTGTTGATTTTTTGTACTCGATAATATCAAGATGAAATTCATGTCTTATTATCCAAATTTGCCCCGGCAAGTCATGCTATAATTATTTGTATTTTACTCATACAACACATTTCTTTTGGAAAATCATGAGCATAAATAACACAAACAAACTTCTTTTTGTCAGAAATCAGATATATTTCTCATAGATTTGCATTTTCATTGGTAACCTGAATAATGCTTGCGTGTACCAAGTACATGGGGATAATTGCATAAGATTTTGTCATAAGGTAAAAAAAAAGTGTTTGCTATCTAAAAATTTTACAGATAATATTTCTCGTTCTTTATAAATATACTTATTCAAAGAAAAGCTGCATTTTTTGCTAAAGAAAGTAAGTATACGTATACATTTATTCCTTCTTTCGTTTTGCTCTGAAGTCAAGGTCAGAGGAGACGTTTCTAAAAATCTGTTTTGTATATCTTTGTAATGCATGGAAAATATTCAAAATTTGAATTACATTTTGATTTCTAAACCAGTTTCTAAACGTTTTCAAAAAATCCAGGCACTTAAACATTTGAAATTGGAAAATCATTTTTCCTCCCAAATGGATTATAAGAAAAACTACCCCTGGTATCTTGCAGAAATGCCTGGTAAGGTACCTCAAATTTTTGTGAGTAAACATGTTTAAGTAGCAATACTTCTATGACAAAATCCTGGAAAATTTTATCTATCATTAAAGAACGTCTCGTTTATCCTTAAGGGTCAAGGTAATTAAGTTTGAAAAAAGATCGTTATTAATCAAAACATTAAAATAAAAACTCAATTTAGTTAATATTAACTTTCTTGAGAATCTCAGACACGGGACAGCTGGCTTCGGACAACAGACTTTTCAAGTAAGTGAACATGACAAAAACTAAATAACAAAATTATATTCTGTACTGCTGATTTATTGTACCCGATAATCACAATTATTCTTTTTAAGTTCAGCTTTCATTCCTTGAATTAAACACCAGTCTGACAACATTGAGCTTGTACATGTTTTTTGCCAAATAACGCAAGACATGTTTGTTCCAAAAATATGTCATTTATTATGAAATGACAACATATAATATAATAATACATAAAACTGAATAAAAAAGACTGGAAGACAATGTAACCTTAAAACACATTTCCGGAGAAAAATTATAGAACAATTATGCAATAACAATAAGTATCCCAGTATGTGATTATTACATAACATATATAACTTGGCAAAATAGGTGGCCTCCAAAATATGGCGAATATGACTAACAATATAATATACATCTAAAGGAATTATTTACAATGAAAACATAGACGTATATGAGCTTGAGGTGGCCTAATGTTTGGGGATGGAGGTGGGTAATCCAAAAAAAATTTCAGCAAATGTTTGGCCGTCTTGTCTTTACAATAGCAGTACAAATAATGATGTTAGTTCTCTTATCTCAAAAGGATAAATTTACCGGGGGTCCCCACGGGTTTACAGATAAAGAGGCACAAAGTGGGGAAATACAAATTAACATACAATACATGAAACTTAACTAAAAATAATTTTATTAGCATAAAATATCATTTAAGTTCAGCTTTCATTCCTTGAATTAAACACCAGTCTGACAACATTGAGCTTGTTTTTGCCAAATAACGCAAGACATGTTTGTTCCAAAAATATGTCATTTATTATGAAACGACAGCATATAATATAATACATAAAACTGAATTAAAAAGACTCGGAGACAATGTAACCTTAAAACACATTTCCGGAGAAAAATTATAAAAAATTTTGCAATAACAGTTAGTCTCCCAATATGTGACTATTACATAACATATATAATTCAGATAAAATATCATATTTGTACAATTTACACTATACCGTACAAATGTATGTACATGCACTTGGTAGTGCAGAGAGATTGTTGAATTGTTCGATTCCAGTGTCACCCTTTTAAAATAGAAAACAACATTATTCTTTTTTTTTTCTTTTTTTAAGTACCTTCTTGGAAAATAAATAACTTTGGACAAGCAAAAACATGCCTTCCATGTCTTAAATTAGATAACACCATATCATATTTTGTACTCCGCATATACGCAGATAGACGCAAATCAAGATTTTTTTAAGGATCGAGGAGAGGGGGAGAAACGAAGAGCAATGTGATTTCAACTATAACAGTAGAATAATAACTGTACCTATTTTCGACCTTAGTCATATTCCCCTTAAAAACACATTCTCCTTTGAAAAAAAAAATACAAAACTATTAAACTTTATTGCATCGAATGAAGAATTTGTATTAACATCGTGGCCCTTTTAAAAAAACTGGATTTCAGAGTTAATTACACGAAACTTTTAATTCCGTTTAAATTGACCTATACACGAATTCGTATTCCACCAAACATTTACTTATAATTAACATTTGAAATGTTTTTAAATAGTTTGCATGTAAATGTGTCATCAATATCAGTTACTAGTATTTTATCTTTGAAAAATTGAAAAGGGAATCTTTAATTGTTTCCTTTCATTAAATTCTGACTGAAATCTGAAATTCATAGGATAAAGTTAGTTCAGAAATGTACTTTCGGATTTTTTCAAATAAACTTTTGCAAATTTTAATTCCTTTTTATGAATTTTTCTTATTATACATGCAATTTTTTTAAACATAAAACAATTTTTCTATTTTAGTAAGAATAAAAAGGAAGGAAGACAATAAATACAATGTATAGGTTTAATAGCTTTGTTGAGGCTTGGCTTTTCGTTATATTTAGGACTAAACAATTTGCCCACTAAATGATGTTACAAAAAGTGTCCAGGAGTACAGAAAAAATCGTAAAAAATGTAACGTACATGTATGTTCAGAATGTAATCATCTTCGCCCTTTAGAACGTTTATCATGGAACCAAAGATCACGAATATTACAATTTTGGTACATGTTACATCAAATGCTAAGGATTAAACGTTTCCTTGCTACATGTACATGCTTATTTGTGAAAAAAAATTCTCCGATGACCAATTTTGAAAAAAAACTTAAATATAAGCTCATTTTAGATATAAATAATCTTGATCATTATGGGTTACGACCTCACTCATTTTGTAAAATTCTTGTTATATTCAGCTGCAGGCAAAAAGAACTTCGTACAGTCCAGAAACAAAAAAAAATTAGAACAGTGTTTTATAAGATCGTTATTATACATTTGCAGGAATGACCTACAACGGTTTTGGTTATACCGTCAATTCTTGTCCTCTAAATGAGACAGAATTCAATGAAAGTGCAAAAAGACTCAACTGCAGTGTGGATGAGAATGGGCGGAGTCAGTACACATGTGTTCCAAATACAAACAAAACAGCTCTCGTGGAGTTTTGTTACAAGTTTACTGTGGGGTTGTATGAAAAAGGTAATATTCTGTGACAAAATTGTAAATATGCCGAAATCAAAATCCTTATAGGGCGCTTTTAGGTTAAAAATAAAACTGTCCATGGAATTTTGGTAAAGACAAATCTTGTAGTCGCTGATGAGAATGACTCCAGGTAATTCAATCAATGTTCTCCAGAACTACAGTAATATTGTTGAAATATTTCTCAATATTGCCTAGTTGCCCAAGACCTTAATACTGCCTTAATTCAACATACAAAGAATTTGAGGTGATAAAAATATATTTAAAAAATCCCAAAATTTCAGATTCAAAGTCAGATTTAAGAGATCCTATATAGTTGATGCATGTTCTACTGTCGGTGTTTTTTTATATATTAAATTAAATACGCATGTTAATTTATATATATGCAGCTAATGTGTCTCGCATTAGAAAGGCTTTGGCATTCTTTAATATAAATAAAGGCACTATTTCTAATTTTTTCATCATGGTAAACGAAAATGTTTATATACTAGTACAGTTTACATGTATATTTGCTTTATATTCCCATTTCAGAGTACAAAGTGTATTAAGAATATATTTCAAATTTATTAGATTTATATGCAATTGAATATCAATAAATATGTATATTTGCAACGTATAATGCCGAATACTATATTTGTTAATATAATGCATGAAACTAAATTTATGTTAACCTAGCCAGTAAAAAGAAGTGACTCAATAACAAAACTAAATTTCAAATTAACACGAAACAGTTTAAATGCATAACAATCTTTAATTTATTATCATTATTTTTATACCCCCGTTAACGAAGTTTCGGGGGTATATATTTTTTTGTCGTGTCCGTCCGTCAGTCTGTCTGTTTGTCCGCAAAACTTAAACCTTGCCCATAACTTTTGATTTAGTGTAGCCATGACTTTCGTATTTCACATGTGTATTCCTTGTGACGAGACCTTTCTTTGGGTACCACTAAATTTGACCTTTTGACCTTAACTTTGGAGTTTGGCCCACTTTTACATGAACATTTTAAACTTTTACTTCTGCCATATCTTTTGAGCAGTAGATACCAGGACATTTATATGTCACATATGTATTATTTGTTGCAAGACCTTTCATGCCAACAACCTTGATCTTTTGACCTTGACTTTGTAGATTTTTGTGAAAAACTTTAACCTTGACCATAACTTTTGAACGGTAAGGGAAAGGGCATTCATACTTCATATACTTATAATCCTAATAAAAATACACTTCATTGGATACCAAGTACTTTGACCCTTTGACCTGGACCTTTGAGTTTGACCTACTTAAAAAAAGCAAACTTTGACCATTATTTTTAAGGGGTTAGGGCTAGTGCTTTCATACTTCACATATTTAATCCTTTTGACAAGACCTTTTATTTGATAGCAAGAACATTTGACCTTTGACCTTGACCTTGGAATTTGACCTTCTTTAAAAAAAATCAACCTGGCCATAACTTCTGAATGGTTAGGGCTAGGGATTCCATACACTACATAAATATTTTATGTGGCAAGACCTTTCATTGGATACCAATTACCTTGACCTTTTGACCTTCACTTGGAGATTTTTTGTACTTATTGAAAAAACTTAAACATTGGCCTACTTTCAAATTTAACGATTGTTTTCCAGTGGGAATACCCTACTTTTGATACCAATTAATTAAATTTGCATAAAAGAAAAGTTTGATCTTTGCTATATTACCGTACGGGGGCATCAGTGTTTCACAAACACATCTTGTTTATAGAGAATGCGTAAGAAAATTACAAGATATAATTTCAAGGGTTTTTAAAATTATCCAGTTCTATTCTGCTTTTTAAAAAAAAATTAGTTCACTTTTTATAGGTAATTGTTTAGAGACACTTGGCTACGGATTCTTGGATCAAGTTAGTTGTCATCATTTCCAAGAAGGTTGTCCAGCAAATCATTTCAAAGGGACTGATTTGTACAAATGTGAGGAACGTGTTTTATTTTAAATATTTCGAACTTGTATCATGAAATCCGATTTGTTTTAAGATAACAAGAAAACTGGATTGCAATGTTTTATTTTCCCCAATTTTAGATCCTGAATGCCTCAATATCAACACACATCAGCAATGCTATTTTGCAGACCCCTCTTGTCCAAATACGTAAGGTCCAACTAAACTAAAAGAAATCATTTATACTTATATAAACTTAAACTTATATTCTTTAGATTGATTCAACTGAGCATGCCATTTTCATTGCAGATCACAATTTACCACTACAAACATAACTTTCAAACGAACAGAAGAACAAGTATTCTTAAACACAGGAGCTATCGTCGGTGGAATTGTGTCTGTCATTTTCTTTCTCTTCGTTATACTAGCAATAGTAATCCTAAGAAAAAGAAGATTAAGACATCGTATATACCAGAGAATTCGTATAAGATTCGGTATAAGTAATTTATTACATTTCCTTCGCTTTATAATGTTACTCAGATATTTCATGCACTATATATCACAATTTCTTTTCTTGGTTAGATACAAAGACAGACAACACTGAAGGTAAGAGAGAGAGAGAGAGAGAGAATATTTTAATAGGAAAATACTTATTTTTAAAGAGTAAAATTTAATTCATGCACATACATTATACATGTATAACAATTAACTGTGATTAATTTAGAACAATATTTATCTTCCATATTTTACAAGACAAATCTGAATACCTTGATGACCTCATTTAAATCTATAAAAAATAAAAAGTTAGTGTGGCATGAAAAATTAACTCAATTAAAGGTCAACGAACAGATATATATTGTCAATAGGCACAGAAGTGAAGAATGTATATTTAATAAAGTAATGTTAAAATTTCGTAGAAAATGTTATGAAATTTTGTAAAGATGAGATATATCGAGATAACAAACAGTATTGAAGCTCAAAAATCTATTAAACAATACAAGTTTTGAGCAAACACCGACCCCTAAAACATCACAGTTGGGATCAGATGCCATGGAGGCGCCCTTCCGCCTGGTCACGCCCGCAGTGTGCCCCTTGTCATGATTAGAAAAATCCGTCGACAATTCAGTGTGTAAATAATGGATTAACAATACGAGGGGTTATCAAAAAGTTCGTGGACTGAGGCTATAAAATTAGTACTAGGGAGTCTGTGCTTTGAAAATTTATATGGAACATAAAACAACAAAAAATAAAGAAATGTTGAAATGCTGAAAATTTTAGATTGAAACGTTAATTATTTGCCAAATTATTATAAAATTAAAACGACATAACATGATCACCTGGCGCCGTCGCCGTTAAGTTTCGTGACGTCCGACAACGTCATTATTTTTCAATGGCCACTTATTCTACCCTATACTCTTATTTTGATGAGATTCCCTGGAGCTGAGTAAGGACTTCAAACCGCCTTGTTTATATGACTTTACCATTCACGAACAACGGGCTTTCAATGAATATAATATTCCAGTTGGATTTATACATTGGGAGAGAGATCCTCGCTTGATTGTACCAGCATATATCGCTTTTGGGATTTCAGTATCTACGACACATGATCAACTTCATTTTTTGATGTGATTGATTTTTCACACCTTGACTACACATGGACATTAACTGAGAATGCTTTTTCTCTCTGAATCTATTATGACATTAAAAGACAAGTACTCTGGAAGCAGATTGTTTCTCTGTAGCCAGTTTAGACATTTCTTAGGTTTATACCAGTTTTTTCAGGAACAAAACTTTTTATTATGTTGGAAAAAAGAAACCCCTCCCCCTTTTGACGTCATTTTTAGGGCCTTGTTTTTTTGGACTTTCTTAAATTGTAAAATTTACGATATAATTACTTGAAATTCCAGAATGAAAAAAAAATTTCATAATTTATGGAATAATTGTGTCCCAACACATACCTGAATTAACGTGATTTTTGGATGTCAAATATTCATATCAACAGAGTTTTTTCTCAGTTACACATAGGTCACAAAAACGCCGTGTTCAAGGTTGCGCCGCCTGGACACACCATTGCTTACAAAAACATAATTGATATATTAAAAAATAAAATTTATGATTCATGGTTTATTCTGTAGATAGAAAAGATAATGATAACTAGATATTTTAAAATTCATTGATGTACCTAAAGCGGTTTTAATTTTATGGCGCTAGTCCACGAACTTTTTGATAACCCCTCGTAAGAATGAAAATTGTTAGTCAGCTTTTCATTTCATGATAGATTCATGATAGATAGATGGATTCATGATTAGATGCTGACAAAGTCATTGTATCGACCATAGAACTTACGAAATAATGACCTTAAACAGGACAGCTTAACAGAAGTGTTTGAAGATGGCGTATAACCATTGGTGAAATATTGGCATTACGTCTCATCGTTTACTTGAGTCACCTTAGCCCTGTTGTTCTTAATTAATATAAGTAGGGGTTACTTGTAAATTAAAATATGATTTACAAAAGTTTCTACTATGCAATACAATTTTTTCCGCAACATATTCTTATCTTAAATTTTGAACCACTGAAGTTATTACTATTATTATTATTACTTCTCAACTTTTCGTAAGAGGATTAAAAGTAAAAATAAAATATCTTGTTTGGAATATCAAACTTATGAACCTTGATCTATTATTGAATTTCAGTATTTGGAGGATATGTTTTATGGAGAACCAACGTATCAGGTAGGTAAACAATTGTTTATTTATGATTAAAACCGATATTATTTTTTTTCCATGCGTCATAGAACGTCCTTTCTCCCCCCGTTGTGATTTGTTGAGTATTTGGTTTTAGTTCTTTAGATATCGTATTTGAAATTATATGTACTTACTCTTTGCTATGTATATCTCAAACTCTTCATCTTACAATCTCAAAGGTAAGACAATTCTTATGGTAATCCTTTCAAGCTAATAAAAAGTACAGTTTAGGGATTAAGTTTTGAAAACTATACGCATATATTAATTAAAAATAAAAACCAAAAATCGGGGTCTATGCACTTCTTTAGGCGCTACGAAGCATTTAACATGACCTTTTTGTTTTGTAATCTTCATCAATTTTTTTTTCTAATCTTCATCAATTTTTCAAAGTTTTTCTTCTATAATCTTTTTTTATTCAAATAAATTATGGGAACAATTACAATCTTTTCGTCTTCAATAGTAACTTAAAATTTTTGAAAAAAAATTTTCTACTTACTTTGCATAATCAACTACATGTATATGACCTTTTTGCACTCCAAAATGTCATTTTTTGGCATTAAAAATTAAACTAACAGTAAAATCATTTGAAAATAATGACTTGTGTATCGAATCAACTGAACTCCATATATGCAGGTGATGAAGGTATATTGCTGCAATTGTAAGGGATGTTGATGATTGAAAATTTAAAGTCATCACATTTATCATTGAGCTTAGTTGTTAGATTAACATTAACGTCTTTTTCAAATAAAATATCCAAATATGAAATAGATGTGTCAGACTCTGCGGTGTCTTTTATATCAGTCTCACTGGGAAATATCGAATCGACATAGGAATTTTCATTTTTATCTTTATTTTTTCAGACGTCTTTTCCAAATTGACACCCGACGAAGTATGCATATTACTTTGCTTTTTGTCCACTGACTCGGATTGCCCTAATTTCACGAAAACCGAGTCGTGCGAGTGGCTGAGAAAACTTAACGTAATACGGCTGCAAGTGTATGGCAAAAGAAATAGATTAACTACAGACAAAGTTCAAAATTCAGTGACAAAATTGAAATCTATCAAATTCCTTTATGATGACGAGGGAGAGCTGCGAATTACTAAGGAAGTCTCAGACGAAACCATTTACCGTATTGGGAAGCAGTCTCGTGACATTTTATTTCATATATCTAGTTTCATGACAGCTAAAAAGTATCTGAGATCAATGGAATACAATCGAAAGATTGACGAGAAATGTGTTAACAGTAACGATACTGTCGGGAATTCCGTACTAATAAGCCGTCTGCAGATGGACATCATTTCTCATCCTACTATTGAAGATACATCGATATTTCCCCTTGTCTCTCAGATATGTAAGTACGACAACATGGCAACATAAAGAGTAATTGTATTCTGTAGACCAAAAGTATTTCGAATTGTTACCAACATTAACATTTTTTTTTTCCTCGCATTTTTCACGTTCACAAACCGATACTTTGAATTAGGATAGGATTTGTTTTGTAATTTTAAGGCCATTTAAAAAAAAAGATCTTTGTTTGCCTTCTCCCGACCCAAGGTAAAGAAATTGGATCGGTAGGTACATGTAGGTAGGAAACTTCTTAAGGAAAATTTCTCTAATGTATTTGTTGACGGGATAAGAGGATTAATAAAAAATGTCCTGGAGTGGAAAAAAATTGATATGGCCATTTTCTACAAGTCGATCTTGATAAGGCAAAGATGCCCTTCCATTCGAAAATAAAAATGAAAGGCCGAGACACGATATTTATATCAAAGCTATTTATCTAAAATCGTTTTCTTTCTCTTTTCCAGTGAATATTCCCGAAATTATTCTGCAAAAAAGCAAGAATGAACAAATAGAATATTTACAGAGATTGCAGACAGGGGAATCTGTACATTGTAGAGGTTCAAACGACAGCTTCGAGCACATACTTTGGAAATGGGAATATCTACAAGATGCAAGACCTAACATAGTTAGATCCTGCATCGGCCTCCATGAACATAGTGACATATATATAATCGGCAACAAGGCATATAGAGAACCAAATAATAAGATTAATTTAAAAAAAAAGAAATTTAAAATTCATGATGCTATGTTTCCTCTGCTGACTTAACGAGGCCCTATACTAGGCATACAAATTCGTTTTCACGCATGCAGCCGGTTTTTTAAGACAGGTCAAAGTACTGTAGGCAAAATTGCTAACGCACCATTTGTTAATTTTTATTTGTGAATTGAACATTTGCCGTATCGGTACTAGTACTTAGTATATATGATATGCCATTATTTCCAAATCAATGGGATTGACAAATGTCTTGGTATCTTGAAAATACCCTTGAATGACCTTCTTGTCCGAAAACCAATTTCTAGCTATGCACTGCGCACCATTTTTGCACAGATATGAAATTCTTAATCACTGCAGGTTGCACAACAGTATTAATTTCTGCTATATATTCTTACCAAAAATGCGCAAGTTTGAGTAGGTGTAATAAATTCAAAACAAACTTCTCAGAAGTTTCCTTTTCAGATCTTGTAAAACCATTTTTTATAAAGATTTGAGTACCAAAAAATACATAGCCATCCAGCAAGGCACGCAAGTTTGTTTCGGTCGAAGTCGAGCAGGTGTTTGAAAATCTAGTCCAGGGCCTAATCACTCCCCACTCTTGACAGAATATAGAAAAATCAGCAGGCCCTAAATTTTAATAAATCTGGTCAATACAGGAAGTTTAAATGTTGATTTTCATCTCATAAAAAAATTTAGCTCCAGTCTCGTATCAAAATGCCTCAATCGGAAGGGAAAATTCCGGGATTATTTTCCGTCAGCCATGATTTGACGTGAACCAAAGTGTAATACTGTTATGACACCTGCAATTAAACTTGAATTTTTTCCTAGCCGGTATATTGCTATTTTCCCGATCTATGATGATTATTTAATGTATTTACCAAGTTTCATAAGACTGCGTCCCAAGACAGGAAAATTACGGGCAAAACTCCGTGACAGGGGGCTTCGCGGTGAACACGGATTTCTAAAAATATGGCAAAAGTTGAACTGTATGTAATGATCTTGCGCGTTAAACTTGTGCGGTTTTTCCGTTTTAATTTTTTAATGGGTGCATACTGATTAACATGAGGATGATAAATTGTTCAAAATAAGTTTGCTTTTTATAACAGGGCGAAAGAAATTGTTTTTGTCATAAGGTTGGGGGTGGGTTTAAAAAGGGCATTGAAAAAATAAATATTATTGAAATAATAAGGTGTTTCTGCTTAATTAGGATTGACTTGCCTCGATAATTATTTTTTCCGACCGGATTTTTTTTTATCTGTTACCAATGTGTTCCAAATAAACCGATGTTTACACATATTCAGAATTTTTATTTTGCTCCGAGTGTGGTCTAAATTTTTTAAATTTGTAGATTTTAAAATTATTTATGAGTATATAATGTTAACGAGTGTGATGGCAAGGTATTTTTTAAGCTGTCCTCCAAATTTCATGCATTTCTCTAAAACCGATACATCCAAATCAGGCCGTGGTGTGGCCAACATAATTTATTTTAGAGCAAATCTGGACTAATTTTCTTTGCTCCATTAAACACGAACGAACAGCAATGACGGTCCGAAAAATGCCATTATTTCTCATTTTCCGTCTAAACTCACAAAATAAAAAGTTAATTCTTAGACTACAATATTTCTAAGTATAAAATTCGGTTTTACTGCAGGTTGCACAACAGTATTAATTTCTGCTATATATTCTTACCAAAAATGCGCAAGTTTGAGTTGGTGTAATAAATTCAAAACAAACTTCTCAGAAGTTTCCTTTTCAGATCTTGTAAAACCATTCTTTATAAAGATTTTAGTACCAAAAAATACATAGCCATCCAGCAAGGCACGCAAGTTTGTTTCGGTCGAAGTCGAGCAGGTGTTTGAAAATCTAGTCCAGGGCCTAATCACTCCCCACTCTTGACAGAATATAGAAAAATCAGCAGGCCCTAAATTTTAATAAATCTGGTCAATACAGGAAGTTTAAATGTTGATTTTCATCTCATAAAAAAATTCAGCTCCAGTCTCGTATCAAAATGCCTCAATCGGAAGGGAAAATTCCGGGATTATTTTCCGGCAGCCATGATTTGACGTGAACCAAAGTGTAATACTGTTATGACACTTTAAAGGGGTCTGTGAGATTGTCACAGGAGTAGTCCCCCAGTTTAGAATCGAATAAACAAACTGTCATTCACTGACTCTCATATCTCATATTAATCATCTGAAACCTTAGTGTCCATGCCAAATCCACTCCACTTCCGGTTGTCTCAGTCTTGTGGAACAATATTCAACTTATTGTATGCTACTAACTTAATGCCGTGGTTAATTGTAGTAAACATTTTATATTGTTTAATCTATTTGGAACAATATTTCATGAGAGGAATTCATAAGCTTTTTATTGTTTTTAATTTTTGCAGATTTCTCTAAAAGACCCCCCTGCAGACGCCATACTGTCTGCTTTAGCACGCTCCTCTAGTGTCAACCGCCACATACGATGTAATTTTTTCCTGTGTTTTTAATTAGTAAAAATGTAAAGAACACAGATAAAAAGGAAAAAAAAAATTTCTTCGAAAATGGAACAGACACGATTTTGTTTTTCTATGAATTGGTCACACTTCAATAAACATAGTAGTTATTAATAAGTTTTGACAATAATATGCCTAATGTTTGTTAAAGTAACATATGCATATATCAATTGCATCATAAACAGGTTTTTCAAAGTAGAATATGAATTTTCTTAGGTGGTGCGTTAGCAATTTGTCAAGTGTATATAGACTGCATTTCCGTCACAATTGAATTTATGATAAAACAGATAAAAAGACAATAAATAACTATAAAATGTACCGAGTTGCATATTTAATTTAAAAGAAAAACATGCAATTCTCTTTTAACCATTCTCTTAGCATGGCATTTACAATTATAATCAAAAAATTAAAAAAATATATATATAATTATGCTTCATTTTCCGCCAAGATCGAGAATCGTAAACAGAAAAAAATAATAGAATAAAATAAAATATAAAATTTTAAATAAAAGGTCTTAAGGTACGTCCGTACTTTTAAAATTTTCTGTCAAACTTATAATTCTTTAATTTGAATACCTCAAATAAGTCATATACTCACCAAAACACCAATAAAAGACATATCTTTGCAGGTTAATTTTCATACAACATGTCTCAGAGTACATACCTCTAAAACTTCAACAGCCAAAACTGATCTTAAAGAAGTGATATATCATATTTCATTTAGCTATGCACCAAATCACATTAAATTTATGCTAAAACTTGTGAAAATCAAAAATATTCATTTGCCAAGATAATATCTGAAATCTTTATTAGAAAATATTAACAAATTGATGTTGAATCTGTCCACGTCTTTCAGAAAAAAATCTCAAAATTTCTTTATTTTTAATATTTTTCAAAATAGAAAGTGTTTATTAGCCATTTTTTCTTTAAAAATATTTAGAATTACACCTAAGGTTAACAAAAACAGATGTCTATTATGTTCAACCAGATAAATTTAACAAAATAACCTTTTGAAATATCAATTTTTCAATCATTCTTTGCAAAAATTTTTAAAAAGTAAAATCTTAAAAGATGATATAGGCTTTAAAATCAATCAAAATAGACCTCAAATTTGCTTGTTTAAAAAAAATCAAAAAGCATTAGTTCTATAAAGGCAATACAGAATTATGTGTCTGGGTATGTACTAAATGACATGGAGGAGGAACCTCATCGGTGTGCTCCTTGGCACGATCAGACAAACGGAAAAATCCGTAGACACTTTACTATGAAAAAATGGGCAACCAGAAATTTGTATACAAATATCTGTCATCCTTCGACATAATAATGGATTGTATTTGCTGTCATGAATTTTCAAAATGATGAATTAAATTGAGAATGTTGATATTCCTTGTTTCATCAACACATTTGCCAATGGCTTGGTTGTTTTAAGAAATTGTTCGTAAATAGAACATGAATCTGTGATTGGCGTATTGCTTAATGTTAAGAAATTCAGTAAAATAAGAGATTTTATCGAACATGTTAATAATACATTTGTATACAAACATTATATTAAAACTTTGAATTCCAGGCAAATACCATGCCCTCTCTCATGAACTTCGAAGTCTTCTTTACAGCCTTCTTCTGCTGGGAAAATACGCGCTTAAAGTCAATGAGGAGTCCCATGCAGCAATTTTTAACAAACTCAGAGAACGATATTTTACAGATCTACCAAAGTGTACTGACATAGGGATACCCGCCGAATCTCTGTCTGAAATATCACAAACACAAGAAAATGAATTCACTTTTCAATCAGACACCATACGACATGACGTCATGTACGCGTTTGTAACAGAGTGTTTGACTGAGGACGGTGATCTCGAGTTTTTCCTCTCGACAGCATCGCATCAGGTGATATTAGAATATTGTAGGAGCTGGAAATATGAGAGAAGTGAAGGAGAAAGGTGTCTGTATGTTCCAAGCTGGCCTGAAAAGCTTTATGACCTTTTCATAGACCGTCTACAGATTGACACCATTATACACTGTCAGGCACCGGATAAAGTGTTTTGCGACGCAATCCAAGCCCGTTGTATGCTTTTGAAATTTTGTTTTCTCTTATGATATCAGTTCAAAGAATTTGTTTTTTGATAACATAGAAAATAAAGTGTATATGCCGTCTTGGTTGGCCGGCTTGCAAATACTAGATAAATAAACTGGCTTCAAAACTTTTAAAGTTATTTAAATAAAAAAAAGTTATGTATTTTAAACTTTATCTGAATATATTTCAAACAGCATTTAAAATGTAGCATGGTGATGCCGATTTTGTCAAATAATTTTTTTCATATTTGCTAGTTAACTTTCCAAAGGAAATCACAGACTGGAACAAAGTGGACAAACAACACTACGTGGAACTCTCCAAAAGAGGAACACAGACTGTCCACCAAGTTCGGGGTATGATTGTAGGATGTGCCGGAGCCGGGAAGACTACGCTTCTAAAACGCCTACTTGGGCGTTCTACTGAAGAGATCCTGAACGTGAAACCAACAAAGGGGTTGGATGTACATGAGGAAATATTTGAAATTAGTAATGGAAAATTAGAAGGTAAATTTGTCTTTGCTTTCCTTTTGCTTGTGTTATTCCTAAGAAAAAAATGTTCAAAATTGTATTTGTCAATTTCTTCATTAATGATCTATCATTTATTATAGCTCTTTAGTAGTCTATACTTGTGTATATATTTAGAAAACATTTAATGTTTAAATAAATTTGTCTTCCGAGCAAGACAAAGGCGATTTTTTTCAACACACACACACACACACACACATTCTGCAATATATATATATATATATATATATATATATATATATATATATATATATATATATATATATATATATATATATATATATTTGAAATTGCGTATATGTGTTGTTTTTTTTTTATTGTGTGACAATTTTTTCATGTAAATTAAGTATCATATTCTTATAACACTGAAATAAAGCTGATCAAGGTTTCTTAACTTACTGTTTACAGTGTAAAATGTTCGTTTAGTCTCTTTCTTCAATTTCATCATTCTAACTTTCAAGTCACAATTCTGCTTCCTGAGATACGGTTTTTTTCACCTTGTAGAGAGTCTTCGTGCTGACAATCTCAAGATCTTTGAAAAATTCAATGGAAACGAGATAAACGAAAGTGCCATCAAGACTGTAACTTTTTTTGACTTTGGAGGACAATGTGCGTACTATGCCTGCCATCAGATTTATCTTACACGGAGAGCCTTTTATGTTTTGGTTTTGGATGCTTCAAAAAATCTTACACAGGTTGTCGATGAAAGAGTGTGTGATCAAAAGGGGACTGTATTTTCTGGATGGACATATGGAAGTATATGACTTTAACATTTATTGTTCCATTCCTTCAAGTACTACATTAATATTAATCAGCAATTACAAAAAGGACATGACCTTATAAAAATATACAAAAAAATACTGAAATTAAGGGGTTTTTTTAGTTTCCTTGGAAATATAGCCAGTATTGAAAATGATAACATATAAATTCAGATTTTTAAATTGAATGCAACATTTGAGGTCATGAAATATATATTAGGGTGAAAAGAATGGCATTTTATACCGCCAAAACGTAATTAATTTTATGTACATAATGATTTTAAATAAGTAAAATTTTGTTTTTCTATCATATTATAAGAAAAATAATGAAATTTATTTAAAATCATTGTAAAAATTGCTTATAAAAATATCGTGATATTATCGTGATATTCTGGGAAAAAATCGATACGAAATTTTTTGCGATACCCATACCTATTTAACCCCCCTCCTCCGATCCCCATTTAACTTTCAATTTGCTTCCGACGCCAGTGACTTCAAAATATTTTAACACCTTTTTTCATTCATGAGAAAGGGTAATACAAATACAAATGCAAATTCTTGCTTTAAAATTTTGTGTTTTAAAAATACCTGCGAACATTGAATTTTAAAAAAATCCCCCAGGGATGTATTTTGTATAAATGTAATGTATTCATCCAGTGATTTTTCATCCGAAATACGTACAGGTTCTTTTAGCGCTCTCGATACTTCAATTTCTTTCCCTTAAGTATGCGTGCACTTTGAATTATTTTCGAAAGATTATGATAAATTGGTATATTCCAAACAACTATCTTTAAAATTACTGACAATTTTGATATTTTTTAATAGTCAATGAACGTAACGCTGGTGTCCATATGTACTTAGGAACAAAGACAAATATATAATATATATCGAGAGTATTTCAAATTTTAAAATTCTGTATTAATGAGAAACAAGCAATACATGTAAGTGTAAGAATATGCTACAGACCTCCAATATAAAATGATAAATACCGAATAACAATAAATCAAAATCGACTGAAATAGCTTTTCATAACACGTGCGAGGGGCTATCAAAAAGTTCGTGGACTAGCGCCATAAAAATAAAACCGCTTTAGGTACATCAATGAATTTTAAAATATTTAGTTATCATCATCTTTTCTATCTATAGAATAAATTCCAAATCATAAATTTAATTTTTAAATAAATAAGTAAAGTTTTTGTAAGCAATGGTATGTCAAGGTGGCGCAACCTCGAAAAGGACGTTTTTTCGACTTAAGTATAACTAAGATAAACTATTTTGATATAAACATTTGACATCCAAAAAATACAGGTATGTGTTGGGACACTATCATTCCATTAAATGTTGAATTTTTAACTCATTCTGGAAGTTCTATGAAATTTTATTGTAAATTTTACATGGAGTATCCAAACAAATATTGCCTTGAAAATGACGTCAAAGGGGGGAGGGGTTTCCTTTTCCAACATTCTATAAAGATTTGCCCCTGGAAAAACTGGTATAACATAGTAAATGTTTAAGCTGGCTACGGAGAAATAATTTATTTGCATCCAGATTACTTGTTTTTAATGCCAAAATAGATTCAGAGAGAAAAGGAATGTTTAATTAATGTCGATTTGTAGTCGTCAAGGTTTGAAAAAACTATCACGTCAAATAATGACGTTGATCATGTGTTTTAGCTATATAGAACTCAAAAAAAATATGCTGGCACAATCAAGCGAGGATGCCTCCCAGTGTATATTTGCAATAATATATGCATTGAAAGCTGCTGTTCATGACATTTTAAAGTCATAAAAACAAGACGGATTAAAGTCCTTACTCATCTCTAGGGAATCTCATTGAAATAAGTGTACGAGATAGAAGAAGCGGACATTGAAAATTAATAACGTTGTCGGGCGTCATGAAACTAAGCGGCGACGGCGCCGGGTGATCATATAATGCCGTTTTTATTTTATAATAATTTGGCAACTAATGAACGTTATCAAGCTAAAATTTTCAACATTTCTTTATTTTTTTGTTGTTTTATGTTCCTTATAAATTTTGTGAGCTCAGACAATATAGTACTAATTTTATAGCCTCAGTCCACGAACTTTTTGATAACCCCTCGTAAATCAAATTCTTGTAAACATCTTAAACATAAAAAAAGTTTTGTACCTAAATTTTAATTATAAATTTGAAAATGAATTGACCATCGATAGCTCGCAGATACTTGGCACGACGTCGAATTGGTCTGCTCAAAGCATGAATGTGAATAGATTTGAGTCACGTGTTCAGTGCTTTGTTATTCATAAGTCAAAGACGGGTTGGAATTTGTAAACAAGGTACCTTTACTATGGAGACAAGTACCCGTGGTTTTTCACCTTTTTGCAAAATAACAATTGAGCGCACGACTGTTTCAATTTCTTTCATGAATGTAAATGACTAGTATTACTTTTCACATTGACCGTATTTTGCACAACTTGAAAAGTCAATGCGCTCATATAAAAAAAGGGCTTGCAAAATGGGGGTGTGGCCTTATATCTATGAAAAATCGTTAAAAAAACGTACCCCAGCCATATTTCCTAATTAAACAGCAAGAAATTAAAAACGGAAAATGAAATTAATCAACTACAATGTTTGATGGACAGATGGAGGCAATAATATGTAGAAAATCTTTCATCTTATTTTTTGTAAATTATCGGGGGCCAAATGTGAACGTTTACCAGATGCATTCTTTGACATTATCACGTTCATCATTTATTTTGTTGTTGGGTTGCAAGAACGTGTTTTTCTTGTAAAGTATCCAAATATGAAACATATTTTTCTTCTACATGTATTTCGATTTCATTGCGTGATATTGAATCAATGTAGTTTTGAAAATGAATATCGTTAATTGACAAAACGTCTTTTTTTATTTTTGTCGAGTTGACGTCCACAGCAAGAGATTTCTCCTTTTCATGGGTTATTTTTTTAATAAATTCTATTTTATATTAATGTAAAATAAATATGCTACATGTACATATATTATTAAGCCCAATGAGTACCCCTTCTTCCAACAGATTGTAAATTTGATCTCCAGTAAGCAATGACTAATTTTCTAAATGCATATCCAAAGAAATTTCTAATTTTACAAATACAGGTTACTTTGACTGATTTGAGATTTGTATATTCCAAATAAGATGCAACTTTTGCTTCATTAATATCCTATTCATATTGATTCAAACTCTTTTCTCCATTCCTTTTTAAGATTATTTCCTATTTTGGTTGAACTCTATCCACACATACTGCTTTATAGAGGGTGGACAAGGGAGACATGTTGATGTTGTAATTGTGGCGTCACACTGGGACGAAAAAATCTACAAGGTACATGTTGTATTTTATTTTAGTAAAGCTTGTATTCCAATTTATTTTTCGAGTATTTTAAAATAATTTTCTTAATATTCCACTGAAAAATTATTCAATGAACCTTAAAGAGTTATTTTTCTTTTAATGTTTGCAGTGTATGGGTAATTCTAGGAAAATAATTCCAATTTTTGAAATTTTATTAAATATTTTTCTTAATATTATTGTGTTTCTTTATTCTCTCTTTTAAGGAGCAGTCAATAATAATATTATATTTTTAAACTTGAAGTTTTTTTTATACAGAGGTTGTAAAAAAAACCCTTGTGCTTTGAGCTTTATTTGTCCTGGTTTTAAGCAATAAATAAAATATAAGATGTATTTGAAAAGAATTTGAATTTTGCTTTAATTGTTGTTATATTGTCTTATAAACATAGGACAAGGCCGACTTGCTTGATTCACTCTTGGATGCACTTCAACATGTTTCCAATCTTTCTCAATATATCAGAGAAGACAGATGTTTCCCCACACAACTTTTGTCTGATCCAATAAGACAAATAGAAAAAATCCTTGTAGAAATAGCAGACCTGGATATATGGGAAGAAGATATCCCACATGAATGGTTGCTTTTTGATCATGAATTACAGTTAAATAAGAAGAAAAGGCATATTCTGCCTTTTGAAGAAATTACTGAAAAAATGTCGTTTATGGAGGAACAGAGAAAAGAAAAAGTGGAAGGAATGTTGCGGTATTACCATGACGCCGGAAAAATACTATATTTTAACGAGGAGGGGCTCAGTAAAAATGTCATTATTGATGTCCAGTGGTTTGTAGATGCATTCAAAATCATCATTACTGACCGAAACCACATCAAAGGAATTATTGCCACTATGAATGATTGGAATGAATACAACGATACTGGATACTTGAAGAAATCCCTTCTATGCGAAATTTGGAAAAAAGAAGATGAAAATTTGTTTAAAAACTTCGATAGAAAGGAACGCTCAGTCGACATCCAATTTGATAAGGATTCACGCTTTCTTTCGTATCACACAGAGGAATTGTTGTCTTATATGCAAAAGCTTGGATTATTGTTCATCGGATCGAGTTCTCTGTATGTTCCATGCATGAATAAAAGGAGTTTTAAAGAACGGAGAAAGCAATTAGGGGCAATTGATTCCCAAACATCAATTTTAGTTTTCTATTTCGAATTCTTCCCCTTCTTTATTTTCTGTCGACTTATAGTAAAATTGACACAGATTAAAAATTGGACGGTTCTTACAGATGGAGGCAAAAGTTGCTTATACAATAATGCAGCCATTTTTAAATTCAAAGAGCATTATATCTCAGTAGCCATGAAATCACCAACAATTCAACTGCAGATCTTTAAACCTGATTCTAAAGTTTTGAAAGATGTTACAATCTTAATCAGAAAAGAAATAGAACACAAAATCATGCAACTTACACGAACCTTTTACAAGCAACTTAAACACAAAGTAGGATATTCATGTAAGAATGACCAAAAAAAGATTCTGGGTTATAAAGTCAAAGATGACTTTTTGGAAGAGACATTGCTGCGGCCTGGAAGACGAATGACTTGTCCCCAACATCCTATAGATAAAAAGCATACTATCAGCCCGAATGACCTTATGTTGTGTTGGAAATAGGGAACAGTACTTTCTTTCAAAAATACATCATAGGTGCATTTCTACAGTTATACATTGTGCATGCATATGAAATATGGAAAACAATGGTTAAAATTAATTTAGATGAAAAATATTCATGTATGTACATATGCTAAAGAAAACACGTGTACTATTTGGTCATGAATTGTGTTCTCAACGTTTGGATTGTTTGGAATCGTTTGAAAAGTATTACTTCGATTGATATTTTCCTTCGATTAAAAAATGTCCTTACATTAATTCGGTTATTTTCGAGTTGAAGAGTACATCCTGGCAATCATGTAGATATTATAAACCAGTATGTCGATGATGCAAAAAATGTGTCCAATATATAAATATCTGTTTCACCTGTCTGTTTACTCCTTTCCTCAACGAAAGAGCGCACCAAAAGAGATAATCTCAAAACTTGTGTTCTTTATAGTTCAGAAACAGGTACTGAAGTGAATGGGTTTTATTTTTCTAAGATGAGAGCTTAAATTGTCCCTTGTAGAATCTACTGAAAAAATTATTTAATAGTGGCCGAGAGTGCATTTTAATATGGTAACCATAGGTTTCAACCACTATTGAAATACTACCAGTATTGAAAGAAAAGTTTCACCGCGTCAGAAACTTTATAAATAATTATTTCAATATATATTGGACCGGTCATGGTAGCCTAGTGGTAGAGCGTTCGCTTCGTGATCGGGAGGCCCGGGTTCGATTCTCGATCGCGGCGCCGCGTCATACCTAAGACGTAAACATAGGTAGTGACTGTTCCTTCGCCAAGCGCTCGGCACTAAAAGTGAAAGTCACGGGTCTTTCGAATATGACCTTAAAAACGTAGGTCCCGTGTCACGGTAGGCGCTGGCACGATAAAGAACCCTCACTGCTCAATGGCCCTGAGTGCCGAGTATAGGTCTAAATTTGAAACCCTACACCGGCATTGGTGACGTCTCCATATGAGTGAAAAATTCTCAAGAGGGACGTAAAACAATATACAATTAATCAATATATATTGGATTCATTGTTTAATGTACTATAGAAATCAATAATTTAACGAGGCCGAGTCTAATTATTTCTACCCTAGGGATTTCGATAGCATTTTGTTAGATTATTTTATTGTCATATTGATTGTTTTAAAATTAAAAAATCGAATGCTTACCACCCCGATTTCTTTGGGGGTAATCTCAAAAGTTGTCAACTTTCACCATTGAACCCTACCGGAAATTCTTGGAAAAGTGCCAAATTATCACATTTTTTCCATGTTTTTAGCTCACCTGAGCTGAAAGCTCAAGTGATCTTTTCTGATCACATTTTGTCCGGCGTCCGTCTGTCTGTCCTGCTGTAAACTTTTCACATTTTAAACTTCTCCTCAAGAACCACAGGGCCAATTTCAACCAAACTTGCCACAAAGCTTCCTTGGGTGAAGGGGATTCAATTTTGTTCAAATGAAAGGCCACGCCCTCATTCAAGGGGATATAATTTTGGAATTACTGAAAATTTGGTGGTATGCTTTAATAATCTTCTCAAGAACCACTGTGCCAGGAAAGATGAAACTTATGTGGAAACATCCTTAGGTAGTGCAGATTCAAGTTTGTTCAAATCATGACCCCCGGGGGTAGAGAGGGGCCAAAATGTCCGACCAAAGTTTTACATAGAAAATTATAGGAAAATTCTTTAAAAATCTTCTCAGGAATGACAAAGCCATAATTCATTATATTTATATGGAAGCATGCTCAGGCAGCGTAGATTAAAATTTGTTCAAATCATGACCTCTAAGGGTAGGGCGGGGCCAAAATGGCCGACCACAGTTTTACATAGAAATATATAGGAAAATTCTTCAAAAATCTTCTCAAGAATAGCAAAGCCATAATTCATCATATTTAAATGGAAGCATGCTGAGGTAGTGAAGATTCAAGTTTGTTCAAAGCATGACCCCCGGGGAGTAGGGCGGAGCCAAAATGACCGACCATAGAAATTTATCGAAAAATTCTTTAAAAATCATTTTCTAAAAAATAGCAAATCCATGATTGGTCACGGGACTTCTTTTGGATTTAAACTTTACAATAAAAAACATTTTCTACTTTTTCCTAGCTTTTGTGCTCAGGTGAGCGATGTGGCCTATGGGCCTCTTGTTTGTATTTCTGCCCTAGAGATTTCTTTTTCAGTTAAGTAGATGAAAGTTACTCTAAAAAGTCACCAAATTGCGAAATTTCAAAAACGTTAACCATCTAGTTTGATCTATGTCTTAATTTCAAAGTTTTTTTTTTTTTGATGCTCAATAGTTTTAAAATTGCCATATTGTGCTATAAATACATATCGGTGCAAATGAATTATAGGTGCATATAAAATGTTTCGGTAATATATAGCAATATTTAGATTGCTGCTATGTTTCTTCTGATGTTTTGTCATCACTTTTTGGTATAATATCCATGGACGTCTACGAACATATATATAAGCGAGCCATATGCCATTCTTCAGCGTCATGCATTGCTTACAAAATCGGAAAACATTGACTTTGTCAGAGCCATTTCAGCGTTTTTTTTTCGAAATTATTGTCGTAAAATTACATTTTCAAACCGTAGGTATTTCAAATAATGTTATTTTTTTATTAAAATCACAATATTTGGATAAGGTGTACTGTCGCACTGATGACTTTGTGAAATTAAACGGCTACGCAAAAGTCATGCGCACTCGAATTAGACCCGGCCTCGTTAATCCATATTGAAATCTTTATTTCAAAAGTAAACAATGTTTAACAGTGGTTGCAATCTTAATGAATCTCACCAACTATTGAAATAATTATTTCAATATTAATTGTAGTTCAATAGTGGTTTTTACCTATGTTTGTTATTGAAATGCACTCTCACCCACTATTGAAGTAATTATTTAAATAGTGGTTGTATTTCAATTGTGGTTTTTAAATATGTTTGTTATTGAAATTTATCCAAAACATTATGTCAGATTTAGGTAAATCACCAAAATGTCTCATTTATCAACACCTGGTAGATAATTTTACCCTTCAGTCTAATTTATGTAAACCAATAAATCTAAAATATCGAGTAACAATTACCAGATTAAGACATATCTGCGCATAACGTAATGATTGAACAAGGAAGATATAATAAAACTTTGAGAAATAACAGAACATGTAGTCTCTGTCAATTCGGTAACATAGAAAATGAATTCCATTTTGTGTTAAAATGTCCACATTACAACACATTAAGACAAAAATCATTAAATCCTACTACTCCCGAAGACCAAGCGTCTTCAAATGGGTACAGCTACTCAGTACACAGAATATAAAAAAAATTATGTAATTTAGGAAAATTTTCGCAATTAGCGAATGCCCCAAGAACTGCATCTTTATCAATTTTATAGATTATCAGAAATATTATATGCTTTGTACATGTACGTTGTATGTTTATTCCATTATTACACGTGTTAAGATGTATGTTAATTTCATTATTACATGTGTTATGTCTATGAGATGTATGTCTCTCGACTTCAATAAAACTGAAATAATTATAAAATGCACTCTCAACCACTATTGAAATAATTATTTCAATAATGGTCGTATTTCAAGAGTGGTTATTACCTATGTTTGTTATTGAAATGTACTCTCAACCTCTATTGATATAATTATTTCAATAGTGGTTGTGTTTCAATAGTGTTTACTAACTGTGTTTGCTATCGAATGGTCATATTTATATGAAAGCAGTCTCAGTTAGTGTAGATTCAATTTTGTTCAAATCATGACTCCCGGGGGAAGGGCGAGGCACAAATGGCCGACCAAAGTTTTACATAGAGATATATAGGAAAATTCTTTAAAACTCTTCTCAAGAATAGCAAAGCCATGATTTATCCTATTTATATGGAAGCATCCTCAGCTAGTATAGATTCAAATTTGTTCAAATCATGACCCCCGGGGGTAGGGCGGGGCCACAAAGGCAGTCCACAGTTTTACATAAAATATACAGGAAAATTCTTTAAAAATCTTCTTCTCAAGAATAGCAAAGCCATAATTGCTCATATTTATATGGAAGCATACGCAGGTAGTGTAGATTCAAGTTTGTTCAAATCATGACCCCTGGGGGTAGGACGGGGCCACAATGGCCGACCAAAGTTTTACACAGAAATGTATAGGAAAATTCTTTAAATTATCTCAAGAATAGCAAAGCAGTGATTGGTCATTGGACTATTTTTGGATTTAAAATCTTCAATAATAAACCAATTGCTACTTTTTATTAGCCACAGTGCTCAGGTGAGCGATGTGGCCCATGGGGCTCTTGTTTATCCAAACCATGTACACTATGACATTTTAATAATGCTTTAGTAATTTTAACATGTTTAATTTCTAATTATGTTCTAATATACATAAATAAAGACTCATGTCTTCATGTATATGTTTCATTTCTGACTGAAAATTCCAATGATATCAATAATGGACCCGTGAACATAAAGAATCAAAACTTTATACATATATTTACGGAGAAAGTATATGATTTTATCCCTTAAAGAGGTCAAGAAATCTATTGACAAAACTGCTTTAAGATATGCATGTGGGCATAATGCACAGAGAAAGGTCGTAGGCTCCGTAGGACAGGTTAAAACATGTCTTTCATTTTGATGAGTAGACAGGCACTGACAAGGATAGCTGACCACAAAAAAGTACATAAACTAGGTTTCTGATGAATTTCTCCACAATGATCCCATGAAAAATGTTTAATATACTTGATTCTCATTATATCGCAGGTTCCATTGTATCAGGGTATACATATTCCAAAAAATCAGTTACATAGTTCATATCACTTTTGTGGATAAAACTATCTGCTTGTCGTCTAAATGTAAATTTTTTTGATGATTAAAGAGAATGGAACATGCGTCGGAAAAATTTTTATTCAAAGAAAACGTAATTTTACAGATTTCCATTCCCGTTTTTATTATATTTAGACCATTGATCTAGTAAAATCCATAATAAAGTTCATGTTTTGAAAGTCTTTAGTTTGTATAATTATGTATTTTTTATGTAGAATTACATCCTTTCACTGAAAATAAGAATTGAAGTCCAAGTCAACCACAAGTTTCAATGTTTTCCCATATACCGCGAT